TGGTTACAAAGGTATGGCAGCTTGAAAAACTCACTCTGATCGTTCTGATAAGAAAAGAACTCCTGAATTTGTTGGTGAGGGCCTCAGACTCAACATGGAGGTCTACATCAAGTGCCTTGAGGAGATAGTGCTGCCCTGGGTCAAGAGGGTGGTTGCTGGAAGACCCTATGTCTGGCAACAGGACTCTGCACCATGCCACACAAGCAGGAGAACCCAGTCATGGCTGTCAGACAGTTTCTGCAATCACATTGCCCCTTACATCTGGCCGCCTAACTCCCCAGACTGCAACCCCCTTGATTATTGTGTGTGGGGCGCAGTTGAGCGAGAGACCAACAAAACTCCTTGTAACACCAAAAATGAACTGAAGGCAAGGATTATCGCTGTATTCACCAACTTAAACAAGGAGACCATCCAGAAGAGTTGCAGGAGATTCTGGAGGCTGTGGTTGAAGCCAATTTACTCTTTAGTATTTCAGGATATTTTTGTGTAATATAGGTAAATATATCTGTTAAAATGAGATCTTATTTTCATTTTTGTGTAATTTAGACAATTTATCCATCACATCTTGTATGATCCAGAACTGAATCCTCAGTGGATGATTTCCCACACAACATATTACAACTCACTGCAGTAATATAGATGAAACTGTTGAATATGCCTTATTTCACTGATGAAACATGCTTTCTGCAACTTATTTAAGATCATATGGTTTGCATGTTTTACAGACCGTTTTCTGCTTTGGATGGCAGTACTGTATGTAACACTGTATTTTTGCTGCTTGATAGGAGAAAACAGTACGTTTGGTCTAGGAAACTGTTATTAGAGTTGTGTTATGGAGACATGTCTGAATTCCATGCCTGAAGTGGAGTCTTTTTTTTCTCTTTCAAATTGATTGCTACTTTAAGCATCAGCTTTAGGTGAAAAATCATACTGGAGAGAGAAAGTCAATCTTCAGTGGAACTCAATGAAATATGGATGAAAGCTTTGTTATTGTCTAGTCTGCGAGTAGATATTCTGGAATGACACTTGGAAGCAAATGAATTTTGTGTATTGTAAAATACATGATAACCTAGTCCAAGAATGGCTCCAATTTTCTTTCCTTGGAACAGAAATAACTTGGTCAAATCTCATACATTTTCACTTTTATATATTTTTAGTTCCTCTTGTTTTTATTTTTCAAGACACTCCCTTTCCATTAGAAGACAGAGAGTAATGTGGGAATATTTTTGAAAAGCCAAAAGGTGACTGAATATCCGGTTATATTTTTTTTGATTTGTTAACTTACTGTTATATGCACCCTCTCATTAACAATCTAACATTTTTCCTTCTATTTCATAAATTATAAAAAATTATTTTTTCACCATTTTTTTTATATATATATATATATATATATTATTGGAAATGATTTTTTTTGTGAAAGCAATATCATGAATAAATGTTTATTGCTGTGATGAGGAATTATTATTATTTATATTATCATCATTATTTTATTATTGTCCTCATCTTTGTTTTTATCATAATGTTTTGGCCACTGTGCCCTCTGGCCTTCATCAGGTGTTTGTCGACCAGGATAATATCTATACAATCGATTATTCTCATTCAGGCGCATGTCTAAGGATACATCATCTAGTTATTATTTAGTACTGCTCTGTTATTGTTCTTTCTGTTTCCACTGAGTCTACCTACACACTGCTCAGCTCAAAGATTGAACTTACAATGACTGTCATCAAATTCATAAACTAAATGCTTTAATCCACTAAGCCAGGTGTGGGCAATTGTTTTGGCTAGAGGGCCACATTGTTGGGGCAGAGGAGGGCCGCACTGATTGTATTCATTAGTGAACATGAAGTTTTATTTCTGAAAAGGCGTAATTTCAAGCATAAAAATCAATAAATAAAACTTAATTGAGGTAGTTTTATTCATTTATGAGCAAATTTTAAATCACATTTAATTATTTATGGGACAAGTGTCTCTTATCGCAGCTTTTAACAATTTTTTTGAAATCTGGAGTGAGTTTGCTTATTGAGATTCTCATTACTGCCTGCAAATTTATGTCTGTTAAAGAGTATCTATATTTATTCTTGTTAATTCATGCAAAAAAAAAAAAAACTTTGTTCACAAATGTATGTTGATCCAAATAAACAGAACATTTTCCTAGCAAAGCTCTTCATACATGAAAATTTATCAGCAGACAATGATTTATAAAATTCATTAATGTCCCAGCATTACACATTTCTTTCAGTGTGTGATCAGCTTGTATGTCTATTAACTCAAGCTGCAGCTCTTCAGGTGCTGCATCCACATCAGCAGTGAATAGATAAGACAACAAATTGAATTTAGATTCAATTTTCTTGAAGTCCTGAAATCTTGTGATTTCATCCTCAAAACTCTGTAAATAACCCCTGATCTTAGCAGAAACACTTTCAAGCACTTTCTTTTCCTAATAAAGGGAAATGGAAAAACTTGCCCTCACCTGCTTGCCTTACAAATAAGCCTACTTTTGTGTTGAAAGATTTTACATTTTTCCACATCTCATGTGCAAATAAGCCCTTTCCTTGCAATGTCACATTCAATTCATTCAGTTTGTCAAATATGTCTGTTGTAAACATCAGCTCATATCTCCACTTTTCACATTCCATTTTGGTCATAAAATTATATAAAATCCCTTTCATATCTAGAAATAACAGAATTTCATTCTGTAATGCCCAGACTTTTTTTATCACTTTACCCAGGCCTCAATCATCTTAAACTGTTCTGATAAATCACACTTTCATATTCCGACTCCATGTCCTCAAGCAGAGATTTGAACTGGTGGTGGTTGAGTGCCCTTGCTCATATTGTGTTCACCACATTTACAACTGGATTGATCACATGCTTTAAGTCTAGTGCTGCTTTACAAAGGCTTTCCTGATGTAAAATGCAATGGAAAGAATATATCACTGCTCAAGTCTTGTGCTTCTAATTTGTTTTTTAAAAGTTTAATCATTCCTACATTTTTTCCTGTAAAAATTCTGGCCCCATCTGTGGTTATGCTTGCCATTTCATTCCATGGCAAGCCACATTTCTCAACACAATCCACAGCACATTCAAACAGATCCTGACCAGTGGTTGTATTTTTCATGCATTCCAGATCAAGTAATTCCTCAGTAATTATGAAATTTGTTTCAGTTCCATGGATAAAGACAAGTAATTGTGCAGTGACTTCATTATTTGTGCTCTCATCGAGAGCCAATGAAAATCAAACAAAGTTTTTGCTTGCAGTGTTCAGCTGTTCTTTGGGTTCTTTACTTAAGTCAATGTGCCGTACTATTGTCCTTCTTGATAGTGAAATATTTTCAAATTTCCCTTTAACTTCAGGACACACTACATGTGCACAATCCACCATGTACTGCTTCACAAACTTGCCATCTGAAAATGGCTTGTGTTTGGAGAGGTTGTAAGCTACAATGAAACTGGCCTCTGTTGCACTATCATGAAGACCAGCTTGCTTGATGAATATCGATTGTTGTTTCTTAAACTTTGTAACATACTCAGCAGCTTTTTCTTATGTTCTTCCTCAGAAAAATTGTTGCAAAATTCTTCATATTTAGTTTGGTGGTCTGTTTCAAATTATATTCCTTAAATACAGCAACTGTTTCATTGCAAATTAAGCATACCACTTTATTACCTGTGTTGCAAAAGAAGTATTTGTGTATCCAGTCATCATAAAATACATGGCATTCATCACCAACCTTGCGCTTCTTTGACGGATTCATGGTTTAATGAGCTAGGAAATTTACTGACTTAACTGTTACAAGGAAAAAATCGAAAGTGAAATGGAAAAGTGGAGGGAGTTGACTGATTGTGCATGCATAGTGTGTTGTTAAACAAGGGTCTGAATCTATTGCACAATAAGAACAAGTCTCGGCCCAAGGCAGCAGTTTACTTTGACCAGGTTTTGAAATTTTAGATGTGCATTTTTTTCCCCAAATGTCTATATGGGCCACAGAAAACTGTGCCGGACCGCAGAAAATTGTGCCTGGCCGCAGTTTGCCCAGACCTGCACTAGACTATTGTCTTGTAGGACAATTCTGAGTGCTGTTGCAGTGGTGGTGGACAAGTTGGAATACTCTGAAAAATTATCAAGCCTAGTTAGGGATGGTAGCCATATCAAGGTGAAAAAGAATCTGACCCTGCCATTTGAATAGTATATTTAAATTATTTTTCTAAAGGTTGTAAAATGCAACTAAAAATAATAACAATTTTAAAAATATTAGCAATTTGATGTATCAGTAATATATTAAAGTTATATGGCCAAATGGTTAAAGTGTATGCTTTTGGACTATGAGACCCAGGTTCAAATCTCATAGTGGTTGATTTATCAGGAAGGTGACTTCTTGATGTTATTGGTCTTGGGATGTTGTCCCAGTGTCTGAGATCTTTGGAAAGTGCCTGAAAACAATAACACATGTTTACCCAAGCCTTGTGAGTGAAATTGGGTAGGCAAAACTATTTGGGATCCATCGATGGTAGTGCTAGCACAAAGTCACGAGTCATTGTGACCAAGAGTTTGTGTGTATCATCCTTGTTCAGATCATGTCAGTTAATGTGCTCTTTCCCAGAAATTGTAACTAAGGACTGCTCAGCATAGTTGCAATATAAAGGTGGCCTCTGTGGATGTTGAACAAACAAAAGTGTGCCTGAGGTAGGCATCTGCAACAGATTGGCTAGCCGCCCTAGTAGACAAGCGTATTCAGATATGAGCAGCCAGCCACCATCAATATTACAAATTATCGAGGATTAAAACATTCTCTTTGAAATTGGGCACAAAAGTTAAAAAAAAAAAAAGTCAATATCTCAGAGAGGATGTGGAAGTTTAGGGAAAATGAGGAGAATGGGTGGAGTGAGAAAGAGCAAAATGAGTTATTTATATACAAGAGGGCAGTGAAAAATTCTTGTCCAAACTCACTTGGATAAAAACTTTTCATCTCCCTTTTGTTCTAATCTTTTCTGATTATTACCTGCAGTCCAAAAAAGAATGTCATGTGAATGGAGGGATTATCTTCAACACCATAATGTAAATTGTTCTTTGCAGGAGTGTCAGTAGAATCATCCACGTGTAGATTGACAGCACTTGATATAACAACACCTCCATTAGGAGTGGATTTTTCTTTGGATAAATCATCTGCCATTGGCTTGGTCTGTAAAAAGAATGAAAGTTTTTTTTGTTTTTTTTTTTTTAGGATTAAGGATGAAAAAGAAAAAGAAAAAAAAAATCCAACAACAGTTTGTATAGGGTTATATTTTGGGTATGAGATATAAATATGTCTAAGAAAATGGAATTCCAGATGTGTTAAGTTCTGAATATTTCTTATATGAACTATTAGGTTGATGTAAAAGTTTCCAACATTTTTTTGACAAATTCTTTTATTTATATAACATCATTATTCAGTCATCAAAGTATTCTATGACCTTATGGCATCTTTCAGATAAATTGTGTATTCCATTACAAAAGTAGGATTTTGTTTTGTATTCATTGAATTCTTCAACCTGTTAAAATTGTTGGAAGCAGTAATCATACAAAGAGTGTTATATGGAAGGACATACATGACAATCTCAAAGTTTTTGCAGAATGTGTCACAAAACCTTTTCAGCCCAACTCCATGATTATTTATTGTCACATTTATAATAAGTACTGCTTGCTTAGTTATATTGCATTTTTCTTCAAGATTCTCCAATTCTCAAAGTCTGAGGTCTTTTTGCAGCATGTTCTCAAGCTCATAATTTCCTTAAAACTTGCAAATTCTCTGAGTGTGTCTACAATGACCTTACTTAAGACAACTTGTCTGCTTATAACAAAAAAATAACAGGGAAAAATTTTGTGGGTGATAATTTTTGTAGATGAACATTACTTTGACCTTTTTCTACCAATATTTTCAGAATCAAAAAAATAGGGATTTTTTTTTTTTTAAATCATTTTATTAGGGAGATCCTTTTCATAATACAAATACAGTGCCAAACTGATTCCTGACTTCCGAAAGTGTTATACTTGTTTTTATTAACAAATATCAATTGTGCTTACATCATTATGTGTATACTACTGATGATTCCTTTTTCCTAATTCATAGTAAACAGTTATCAATGATGTAAAAATATTTTCAAACTTTTAAATAAAAAAAAAAGGTATAGATAACTCTTTAGGAAATTAGTGATAGATTTGATACTGTATTTATATTATGAATGGAACCCTCTTTCTAAAATGAGTCAAGATTTTTCAGTTCTGACAAGCTCTACTAAATGCTTATCTTCAAAAATTATTATCTCCAAAACTACTGCCTGTTTTTTTTACAAGCAGATCAGTAAGTAGTGCTCTTGCACCTATTGCATCATTAACATCATTTTCAGTGATCCATTGCCTATTTTCCGCTACATATTTTTCAAGATTAAACATGAAGACTAAACAATGTCAAATGTATATTTTATATTTAGTTAAGCACTTTTTTGTAAACAATTCTTAAAAAGCATGCAATATGCAAACAAAAAGTCATTTAAACTTCATAGACATTTTAAAGATTTTTCTGACATTTTGAAAAATATTCTGATGAGTACTTTTTACATTAATATAGTATAAAATGTTTTCTAAAATGAATATCAAAAAAAATTTTTTAAGTTAAAATTCTGTATTTTTTTTTTTTAAATATAAATCTAGTATGTCACATTCTCCTGAAAATAAAAGCTGCCTTAACTGCTCTTTGTATTGTATTCACTATTGCAATTTGAATTATCTTAGGTTAAACAATGAAGCTAACATTTCAGAATTGTTTCCATAAATTGCCTTATAATTGTTTAAGCTTTCTTTAATATTGTGGTGGGAACTTTTGCATTAATTTGATATGTTATCCTTAGACAAGAATATGTATTTTTCTGCTTGTAATGCTATTACTCAAGGAGTAGCAGCTCAGGTTCTAAGAACAAGGTTAAGATATTGATGGAGATAAAAATAGCAGAGGACTGGGAGCAAACTGAACAGGGAACAAAAAAAGATAAAAAAAAATTGTGATTTTCATCTATTTTCAATAGTAAATAAATGTCTTTTTGTAAAGTTACTAGAAAAATATATAAGTAAGGAATGACAAAATACTTCACCATGATAGCCACTTACAGCCAACATGGTTTTCATTGAGTGATAGTTTCAAGTGTTGAGGTGGTATGAAGAGCTAATGTCCAATGTAAGTTTCCAGTATTCTTTAAGTATAATCTGGTTTATATGATAATACTAGCTTAAAAGCCACCCTATAGGGTGGCATTTAAGCTAGCTCCTGTGGAGGGTTTTTGATTGGGCCTTCATCACAATAGGTAGGGAGGGGTAAATGCAATAGGAAACAAACTACAGAAGAACTCAAAATTGATCACTGCATTTAAGTATTGCATTAATATATAATCGTACCTTTAAAAGTTCAATGATAATTCTTCTGCTGCCATTTAATTTTAAGACAATTTGATGAAAATAGATCCTTACTTTCTGTACAAACAGTTATTTTTATTTCATGGGCAACTTTCACTGGATTTCACAATTAATTTCAATTATTCCCAGATTTATGAAAATTATCGTACAAAAAAAATTTGTTGCAAAAAATCATGTAAAAAACAACAAAAAAAAAAAAAAAAAAAACAAAACTAATACAGTAATGAAAACTTGGAAATCCAAAATTTCAGGATTGTGGGCCTGGAAATATTTTTCATTTATCAAGAGAGTCAGTCTGATTCCAAAATTCTATGATATGTTGAGCTACAGCCTGTAGGAGTAAAGTTGAAAAAGTCAGACACAGCGACATTTGGATTTATTCTTTTCTCATAAGAACTTGATCAGGGAATTAAAATACTGTGCATAATGACCAAAAAAAGTGAATAGGAGAAACAGTAATGGTAATATTAACTCTATCTTTATAAGGAAACATTTGACATTCATTGACTGAGCAGTCAGTGCTACTTTTGGTTGAGATTTTATAAAAAAAAAAAACCCAATTTTTCAGAAAAATAGGTTTCTCAAGTTGAATAACTGTTATTGCTCTTTCCAGTATTGCTGAGGCTTATGCTATATCATGTTGAAACACCAGTTCTCATATGATCACCAAAGTTGAGCAATGTTGAACCTGGTCTGTACCTAAATGGGTGACTGCTTAGAAATGCCAGGTGCTCTAAGCTTGCATCTGCAGGTGGTTTAATGGATAATGGCTCAGAGTTAGAAATTAGAGAACTTAATTCAGTTGGGTTTGTTATATTCACTTATGTGCAAATACCCTTGAGAAAGGTATGAATCCATCTCCTCTTCTCCAGATATGGGTTAATTAGTAGGACTTGTATCAGTAAATCATTATCTCCAAAAAAATTCTTAAAAATCTAATATTTTCTGGCTTTAAATAATCTGCAAAGGCAAAATGTTTAAAAGCTGTAAAAAAATCAAATCAATCAAAAATCTATTTTGTTTGAAGTAGTTTTGATTATGTTATTTTTTCTTCAAGTTATATGTGATATCCATCTTGATTGTTACTGCTGTTGAAGGTCCTCAAGTGATGTGGTTTAAATACACACATATATCAATTATATATTGACACGTGCATACTTATGCTATAAATAAATAACATTGTGCAAACAAAAGGAATGGTTGTTGGATCTCAAAGAAGGCTCTCGATTTTAAAAAATTGTCTTGAGAATTTTCAGATGAAAAAATGAGATCACTTCAAAACAGAAAACCTGCACATGGTAGATGAATGTGCATTGATGATTATTAAGATGTTCAGAGACTGAAGATCTGCATATAATAGAAAACTTGGGTAACTTTTCTTATCCTCATTTCCACGCTTTTCTTTTAGCCATAGTGTACAGTATTTTAATTCCTGAATCAATCTCTGATAAGAGAGGAATGAACACTAGTCAGCTGTTTCTAATTTTTCTTTTTCATCTTGCCATTTGTTGTGGCTGTACTTTTTATTGTCCAATTTTTTTAAAAAATATGTTTTTTTTTTTTTTTTTGTAGCATTGATTATTTTATTGCATGAGTTTAAAATGGGATGTAATGGTGTTGGGGATTATATGTAATATCAACGAAGGGACCATCAACAGAGGTCAACATGGGTTCCAAAAATTTTGTAATAGAGATAATAGCCTTGTAGATGTGGGCTACAGATGCTCTTTTTATAATTGACAATAACCAATTGAGAGCAATTATAGAATCTAACTCCTGCAAAACAATTTAAGAGTTTGCAGAAAAAAACATTCAATATTTGTTTAACTAGTTTTTTTTTTTTTCTAATTTGGTGCAAACGTCAAACAGGAACAAACAATTTGCTGCTACAAAGTCTGCTTTGTTTTACCTTTTGCACAACAAAATGATTCATTTCTTGAAGACATTGTGATAAAAAAGTGGATTCTATACTACAACTGACAACATTCCACACAGCAATTAGATTGCAGCAAAGTATGAAAGTACTACTCCCAAATCAAATCTGCATGAAAAGACGGTTCCCCTAATTCTTGAATACTGGTGAAACCATCACAGCAGAGAAGTATTGTTAGAAAATTGACCAAATGCATTAATAAAATTTAATGCTTACATCCAACAATGGTCAATTAAAAACAATAGAATCTTCTGCCTGACTTGAAAATGATTCTGCAGAATTAATCTGTCTACAAGAATCTTGTCAATTTCTTGCAAGAGATGATCTTCAATAACTGAGCAACACTTAGAATACCTTTGAAGAATATATTGATTCCAGAATTCTGATACATTTGTCTGTTATTGACAACAATGTTTACAATTTATTAATTAAAATAAAAATTATTAAATTTAAGGTAATTAACCATGGTTAAATGTAATTGGCAAAAATGCCCAATAAACAGAATTGACAAAGTTTGCACTAAGCAATAACAGAAGAAAGAAAAGAAAAAGGCAAAAATAATACTAAGCAAATATATATGCTAGACAAAAGTAGGCAAAGCAACAGTAAAGAGGTGAAAAATTTTACAAAACTAAGAAAAAAACCAAAAGGGTTACAGTAGTGTGACTAAGACAAGAATGAACAGAAATATGGCAGATGAGACTGAGAAGTGGCCTATCTGATTGGCTAGTAAGAAATCCCAGCATGCATCTGTATGATTTGTCTATAATTTTGAGGAGGTGGATGTTTTTATAGTCATTCCT